GTGGTAGTCGATCAGAAAGCGCTCAGGTGCGGAACGCACCGACACAGCCGAGAAAATGTCTCTATTGTGAGCAGTACTGACCATAATTCATTAAGATGCTCAAAAGTGGTCCTAATAAATGACCGGAGTGAGCTCTTAAGAAGGAATAGGCGGTGCACGAACTGCGGGATGCAGAACCATTTCGTGCGCGAGTGTGCGAGTACAGGCTGCAGGAGATGTGATAATAAAAAACATCACTTCTCGATCTGCCCTAAACTAGTACAGGAAGTGTTTGGCCGCCAGGAAGGAGGCGAAAACACGCGCCAACCCCCACCAACAAGAGGCAGCGGGGAGAAAACAGGCAAGCCTTATAGAAAGGTAAATACACAGAGCATAGAAAGTACATCAAATCCGCAAAACGAACAGAACCCCCAATTCGAGGAAACATGCAGTGCAGAGGTTCAAAGCATGGCGGAAGGAGACCGTTGTGGAAAAAACGATGTATACCTTCTGACCGGTACAGCATGGATTCGGCACCCCAGCACAAACCAGGTGGAAGAGGTTCACATTCTGCTCGACACGGGAGCAGATAAGTCGTTCATTCAAAGCGAATTTGCAAATGAGCTCCAACTCCCGATCGTGCGCACTATTGGATTATCAGTATATACCTTTGGTGAAAAGGAGCCCAAACAGAAAGAGTACACCGTCACCTGCATGAGGATATGGGACAACAACGACCAGCCAATCGACCTGACCCTCTGCAAGACGGACGTTATTTCAGGCAGTGGGAAACAAATAAATTTAAGCGATGCGGACAGAGAGTATTTGGCTAACGAACAAATACAACTCTCCAACAGACAAGGATCGATAATTCGCCCAAAAATTCTACTGGGATGTGACCAGCTCTGGAATCTCATCAAGTTCCCTTGCGAAGCGCATACAATGCCGTCTGGTTTACGTATAATCCCATCCCGCTTGGGCTATCTGCTCACAGGTCAAAAAGACCTTGAGGGCGAGCAAGCCTCAGATGGAATGTGTAACTTAGTGCAAACCAACTGCGAAATCCTCTTCAAAACACAGAACGAAGCCGAAGTCGACTCAGAGGATCTCGAAAATGGGGATTCCGACCTGATAACAAGTGACGAATACCTCGGCCCCACTAAGACGGAGCGCGCAATGGAAGCTGATAAAGTGCACAAGTTCTTCAACAATACCATCGCTCGGCGCCGGGACGGGTACTACGTACGCCTCCCATTCAAGGACGACTGCGACTCGTTACCGAATAATTACAAGCTAGCCTATCGAAGACTTACCCATGTTGCCTCGAAGCTACGCGAACAACCGACCCTCTTCGATCAATATGATGCGGTATTCAAGGAACAGCTTCAAAAGGAAATTATAGAGATTGTTCCTGAAGCTAATAAAAACAAAACATTCATACACTACTTGCCTCACCAAGTTGTAATCACCCCTCAAAAAACGACCACGAAAATTCGCATTGTTTTTGATGCCGCCTCACACTACAAAGGCTGTCCCTCACTCAATGAAGTATTACACCAAGGACCCACATTGCTCCCTAGTCTTCAAGAAATGCTCATGCGATTCAGAATGAGACCTTGGGTATCGATCTCGGACGTGGAGAAGGCGTTCTTGCAAATCCATTTACACGAGGAAGACAGGGATGTCACAAGGTTCCTGTGGGTGCGAGATATCAAACGGCCTCCAGAGGGTGATAAATCTGATATGCATGCGATTTACCAGAGTTCCATTTGGCTTGAACGTTTCCCCATTTCTTCTAGCGGGAACGGTGAGATTTCATCTGCAAAATCACGTCACTGATAAAACACTGGCGCAAGAAATCAGAGACAATTTATACGTAGACAACTTGATCCTGGGAGGAGAGACTCCGGAAGAAATAGCGTCCAAATCAAAAGCGGCACACGAAATTTTTAAGGATATGGCAATGAACCTGCGCGAATTTCTGTCGAACACAAACTACGTAGAAAATGCGATCTCCCCAGAAAAATGCGCAAAAGTCAAAACCCAAAAGGTACTGGGAATTCTGTGGCATTCACAAAAAGATGCTCTCCAAATTGCTTGCGAATTACCAGTGACACCCAAGACAACAAAGCGAACTATAACTAACAAATCGCTTCCGTATACGATCCGCTAGGGTGGTTGACTCCACTCATAATTTTGCCAAAACAATTCCAGCAAAGCTTGTGGAAATTCAATTACTCCTGGGACGAACAGCTATCGCAACATCATCATGAGCAATGGGAAAAGATTGTAGGAAATATAAATGGGTTTAGCAAAACGATTCCGCGCCGTATCCTCACATCAACGGCAAACCAGTTGATCTTATTCGCGGATGCAAGCGAAAAAGCGATGGCAACATGCGCCTATATAGTTTCAGAAAGCAATTCATCTCTACTAATAGCCAAATCGAAGCTAACACCCTTAAAAACATCAGTAACCATGCCAAAACTTGAGATGAACGCTCTAGCCATGGCTGGTAGACTAGCGAGGTCGGTAATAAACGCTCTACCTCTGGGAGAAGTAGCGATCAACGAGGTTATACTCCTGTCTGATTCGCAAATTTCCTTGAGCTGGATACAAAAAAGCCCTTACCAGAGCAATTTAGGTCGGTTTGTCAATAACCGTATCAAAGAACTTCACGAAATTATCAACTTAATAAAGCGAAGGGGACCACGTATCCGGTTCGGTTACATCCCTAGCGATAGCAATCCAGCTGATGTAGCCACTAGAGGGCTATCAAAGCAACAGATAACAGACCACCAATGGTGGACCGGACCTGACCTTCTACGAACACCAATCGACACCTGGGAAAACTCACTCTTTTCTGTTGACACCCTGGTCCCTACGCCAGACACGAGCGTATTTGCAATAACAACACAGAGCGAACCTGAATTATTTCCGTGGAATAGACACAGTTCCTACGTAAAAGCCCTGAGAACAATGGCATGGTCATTACGCTTTTTGAGAAACCTAGTGTATCACCTTCCCCCCTCAAGCAGGGAACGCATTTGTGCTAGCCTACCCATACTGCGAAGTGAAAATCAAGAAGGAAACGCAATTTCAGGGTTAGAAATCGACCTCTCAAAAACGATCTTGATAAAGTTACATCAAAGCACCTTCTCGAACGACTACATAAAGTCGATGGACAATACCTTGAAACTAATCAAGGACCTTCAAGGGGTGTGGAGAGTGAGAGGAAGAATGGGATTATCTGCACTAGAGGAACTTGCGAAATTTCCCATCCTTATCGCGCCTAATTCAGATATTGCGAATCTTATCATTCACCACGCTCACGGAAAATACCATTGTGGCGTGGCTCATACGATGGCAAATGTCAGATCGGAATACTGGATACCACGCTTACGTCAGAAGGTGCGAAAGCTTGTACAGAAGTGCGTACGCTGTAGGCGATTCAACGCATCACCATATTCCTATCCACCAATGCCGGACCTGCCGAAGCAAAGAGTGCAACAAAGTAGACCATTCCAACACATAGGCTTGGACTTCTTTGACTTACCCAAAGTTAGAGAAGGGACATCTCGACAAAAGGTTTACGGGTGTATCTTTACGTGTGCGGTCACCCGTTTAATCCACTTAGAGGTCGTAAAAGACATGGGAACAGCAACATTCCTCAATGCTCTGCGACGATTCTTCTCTCGACGAGGAATTCCCAAATCTATCACATGCGACAATGCGCCCACCTTCACCTTAAGCGCAGAAATTTTAGAAAATGCAATTAAAAATGCGAGCACCTTACCAGTTATTGCGAATAACAAAATTGAATGGAAAAACATTACTGCGTACGCACCCTGGCAAGGGGGTTTCTATGAGAGACTCATACAATCCATAAAACATTCACTTTATAAAGCATTAGGGAGGGCCGATCTGGACCTGGATGGCCTTACCACAGTAGTGACAGAAGTCGAGGCCAGCTTGAACACACGACCTTTGACTTACCAAGAAGCTGAATTTGAGCATCTAGTACCGCTCCGACCAATTGATTTCATACAAAAAGACATGGTTATCACCTACCCTCTAGAGGCTGTGGGAGAAGAAGCTCTAGATCCAGAGTATATTCCCTTCATCTCTCCAAGGCACGCTAGAAACAAGACAACAAGTCGAAAAGGCGCTGCGATCCTCGTGCGAATTCACCCAAAAGGTATGGCAAGTATGGCATAGCGAATATCTTTTGAGCCTAAGGGATCAACATCGCAAATGGCTGATTGGAAAACACAACAATCCATCTCAACCTCACGTCGGCTCCATAGTGCTTTTGGTAGATCCCCTACTTTCGCGGAACGAATGGCGACTCGCACGCATTGTAGAGATCCACCCTAGCAACGATGGCGAGATTCGAGAACTGCAACTGATCACAGCAACTGGCAGAACCATACGTAGACCAGTAAATCTTGTTGTCCCTTTAGAAGTTGATCAAGACTACAACGACAATCAAGTACGAGCATTGCGAGGGTCTGAAGAACATCAACGGAAGTCGAACTCAGAATTGCAAAGTCACAAGAACGAACGCTACAACCTTCGGAAAAGACAGCAGGTCTGTTATCAAGATTGACTCCATCCTTTATCATGCACTTCACACTAATTTATGCCTTCACAAGATTATCAATGACTCACGAATCGCAATCACTCCTTTACAACGAACAAGCAAAAATGCGAGCAGAAACCACCATGCAAAATCCTCAAGAATTTGGGCAGGGTGTCTTGACATTCTGTTCTGATCGTTGGGTCTGAGGGTCTTCCTTCAGTCCAAAGATAAACGACATGTACATGGGGAACCGGCTATAAAAGCGAAGTAAAATGTATTCCTAACGAATGCAATTGACCAAAAAAAATTGGAACAATAGGCAAGTGGGCCATCAAAAGTATATATCAGTACGACTACAATTCGCGCGATTCTCTGCTAGTAAACGATTTAGTACAAGAAGCTTTGAATATGCAAGTACATTGTGAGCAAACAGCAAACAAGTTCAACTAAAGTTGCTAAAAGCGACGGAATGCTTCCAATTCACCTCACACGCTCCAAAAAGCTTAAGGCGATTGTACTTTGCGAATGTGCGAATTGTAAATTATAATTCATGTCGTTTCGTTGTTGCGAAGTCCTTCGAATAGCACCGAGCAAAAGACCAGGCAACAGTTTAACAAACACACACGATAGTACTCTAAAAAACTACTTCAGTGATGTTCTCCGACACCAACGTACGAGAAGAGCTACGCCGAACGAAGAGAGAGCTGAAACGTCTCCGCTTAGCGTTGCCGAAGCTCATGAAACCAACAGAACTTCTTCAACGTATTGTGTCAAAATGTCGAGACGCCATGTTGTATACTTCTATAGTTGACCAGCTGCATCATGATATATCGTCTCTCTCCAAGTTCACGCGATACGTTAGGAGAAATCGAGCGCGACGCGCAAATTCTAGAGCTTAGATCCGAAACCTGCGAGCTTCGCTTCCTCTACATAAGACAGTGCCTCAGAACCCTTTATGCCGTGGTGCCAATACTCATAGCCACCGGAAAGACGTCAGTGGAGAAATGGGACGCAATGATGGAGCTCAAGCAGTACTACTATGACAATGAAGGTCGTCGTCAGGACATGCTCATACATCAAGCTACGATGGAAGCCATAATTGAAGACCAGCTGAACTCCATCAACAACCTCAACGCGGCCTTGAAGTCCACACGGATCACGTTGATGAGCGAAGAAAGGACTCGTCGAGAATCTAGTGAAACAAAAATAACGGAATCCATGAATGCCGTGATACATGCCATCGAAGAAATCAATAGGAAGATGAATTCCGCAACCATTCCTCCACCTGCTATCCCGGAGGCGGAAGCCATCGACGACGACACACGACGTCGAAGTCACAACGTCGAGGAAGAAGCCGAACCCATGGAGATTTCGAACCAAGTCGACCAACAAGAACGTGATACATTGGAAGTGAAAAGAAGAGCTTTGGAAGCGAAGATCCAGAGAATCGAGATGAAAATCAACTCGTTGCGTAAAGACTTGCCTTGCAACCCCAGAAAGTTCATCACAGGACTGGACCGAGCCAAGGAAAAGGGAATGCGGTGTGTATTTTGCGGGACACCGGGAGATCACTATAGCGATTCGTGCGGAAGAATCCGGGATAGTCACACGAGGAAAACTCTGTTGGCGGAAAGCTCCAGGTGCGAGAAATGTTTAGAGATCGGTTGTGATGGTACTGAAACATGTCAAAAGTATTGGAATAAGTGCTTTCACTGCGGCGAGCTGGACCACCATTCAGCCGTATGTGAGAAACCGGACGTGGCGCTGAAAATACTAGAGGAGATCCACCAACTCATCGTGGAAATCATACGCACAAGGGACAACATCAACAGCATCCGGAAAAGGCTAAGAATGGCACCGTTCCGTACCCTCTTTTAGGCCCACCTGCCCACCTGTCCCACCTTGAATCCTCCCGATCCCACCATCCCCGCCCACACCAAAATCTGAGGCCGCCCCGGAATATCGCAGCTCTACTGCGATGCATAGCAAGCACGTGCGAAATAAGAAATTCCATCGATCTTTGACCCCGCGAACCTTCTAGGCGCAAAAATACGTGCGAGGGTGAATAACCCATTGAACTTTGATCCAGGGAGGCCCGCTGACCACCCACTTTGGCGCCAAACAATGAACTTCGACCCCTGGGGGGTATATAAGACCCCGATATCTAGGATGTACTAACATTGCTATTGTTTTCTGTTCCCTTTCAGTGTTAGTTGTTTACTGTTGTTAATCTAACCGAGTTCCAGATCCTAGTGCGAATTATCAAGTTATTGTTCGGTTGAATAAATTGTAACACGATATCTATTCGGACAGTACGAAACAACTTTATGGTGCATCGGACACCCCAGAGCCCGGAAAAGGAAATTTAGAAGCGACGAAGGTACGAATTGACCTAATCGGTTCATTACTCTAGATTCAAAACCTTGGGTCAAGCCATCGAGATTACTAGCATCCCACTGATCCCACCCCAGTTAGGTTTTCCTTCAGCCGTATGCGATAGCAAACTAGGAAAAAATGAGTGTTTCGATGAGCGTGCGAACAAGGAAAAGTCTCCTTACCAGGTATACCAACACACTTACGACGTTAACCACAACGAATAGCAACCTGGAAGCGACCTCAACCAGCACGCGAGTATTGGAGGAAGCTT